CGTAAATCCAGACACAGAAATCTGTGGACGTGGAGAGGGAGATTAAATTCCAAATGGATAAATTGTGAAAGTTTTCGTGGATGTGGGCGTACAACAGACTTGAAGGATGAAAACAAAAAGAGTAGAGAAAGAGAGAGACAAGTGTCGGCAGAGGCCAAGTGTGGCCTGTCCCGTGACCTGAAATAGGACAGAGAAGGACTGAGGGCCCAGGTAGCTGAAGTGCACAGTTAAAGATGGACGCTCGCTACTAGACTGTGAATAGTCTAGTGAAGGCTTTGATTGTCAAGTTTCACAGTCCACTCTTAGGTTATGTGACCCCTCCTCAGGGAGGCCTGCCCATGCCCCCATGGTCCTCAGTTTACAGACTGCAGGCAAAAAAGAAAAAAAAATCCATGGGTTGTATCTATCATTCCATCACTCGATACATATTTATTGATCATCTAGTGTGTTCAAGTTCTTTGAAAAGCTCAAGATATACTCTGATTAAAAACCAAACCAAGACAATGGTTTTGTGCCTCTAAGTTGTTGTCTTTGGGTCACAGTGATTAAGACAACGATGAAGTAAAGAAAGAGAGCAGGGCATGGGCAGCGCTGGGGACAGGGAGCAGACTGCAACATTAAGCGGGGGGTGGTCATGAGAGGCCTCACGGAAAGGCAGGTTTGAGTGGACTTGGGAGGAGGCCACCGAGGTGGCCAGCACCAGGGTGAGTTGAGCCTCCTCATCTGAAACACCAGCCTTGACTGGTCATTTCAGATTCAAGCTCTTGTGAAGTCTGACCCAATCCCCAACTGAGCCTAAAGCTTGATCTGGGGAGGAGTCCCCCTCTGGTGGGGGTCAGGAACACCTCCTTCTTGGCACAGGGACAGTCTCCAGAGGGGACGAGTCCCCACACCTTCTCCCTCTTGGCCTGTGGCCTCCCTTCCCTGTTCTGCTCCTTCCTTCATGGATCCTCCTCTCTGCAGCCTTCTCGTGGCCCTCCCTGCTGCTCTGTCCTGCCCTGCAGGGCACAGAGGACCACTCCACTCATCAGTGTGCATCTTACTTCCTCCTTCCCCTGGACTTGTGTCCTGGGCATCTCTGTGTGCCATTCTGCAGACAAGAGTCATTCGTCTGGTGAGACACACACTTGGCACGAGGAAGACTCTTAGCTCCTTCACTCCCTCACTCACGTTTTCATCCAGTGCACCAGGATTTATTCTGTGCACCAGGATTGTCCTGAGAGCTGGATAAAACCAAGAGAAACAAGACGACCCCAGTCTTCACCATTGTCTTTCCTAGCCATTGTCCTGCCTCCAAATAAGAAAACTTAACTCTGATCTGCTTCCTATTTGGAAACCTCCACCTAGAATTGTTTCTCTGCTCACACTCCTACCCCTGCCAGCCACAGATGATCATCATTAAAGGGGAAAGATTAATTCTGCAGAGGGGTTGGCCAAGGAAAAGTGATTTCTCTTTGGTAAAGCTGACAGCATTGCTGGAATATTAAGAGGCACCTGTCTAGGAGCCTCTAGGTAAAGCCAGAAGAACAATGCAACAAGGAAAAATCTTTGTCGCTGCCTCCCTCGCCAGTCCTCCCACGGCGTTGGACAGGTGCGTGACTAAACAGAAGAATTCTTTTCTTAAGCACGGTGTGGAGGCTGCAGATGTAATCGCAGAGTCCTCTGTGATTCCAGGCAAGTCCCCAGGCACCCCTGAGGCTGAGGTTTGGAGGACCCTGTGTGTGTAGGGGAGTCGGGGGACAGCAGGAGGGAGCACTCCAGATAGACAAGTAGAGGGCAGAGACCAAAAGAAAAAGAGATGCACACAGACAGGAAGCTACAAAGAGAAATTCATCAGGATAAAGCAGGAAGATAAAGAGAGAAAGATAACCAGAGGGGCCAAGAGAGACTCAGACCTGAAGACTGCAGAGAAACAGAGCGAGGGACAGAGAGGGGTAGGAAAGTAGGTAGCAAATGACAGAGAGGGAGAAAATCCATCTGAGAGAGTGAGAGACAATAGGGAGAAAGAGGAGAGACGGAGGGAGAGAGAGGAGGAAAGGGGTAGGAAGGCAGAAGATGAAGCCAGGACTCAGAGGGACCCTGGGGAGAAAGGCAGAGAAACATGAATATAAGAAGGAGGTGGTAAAGAGGAGAGATGAAAGAAATAGAGCCAGGAGAGGCCCAGGTGGCCGAGAGGGCAAGGGGGAGGCTCGAGCAGTGACAGGAGCGGAGGCGTCCTCTGGACATGTACAAGGAGCGCCACAGGACAGGGCCTTTCTTCAAGGCCTACTCCAGAGTGGGCCCGCCTACCTGCGAATGGGGGAGAGGGATGCCAATCACCCAAGAACGAATTCGAGTCTGGGATCACCGTGAGGGTCTGTGTTAGTTTCTATTGCTACTGTAAAAAGTCAACCATCATTTGATGGCTTAAAACAACAGAACATAATTTTCTCCCAGTTCTGGAGACTAGAAGTTGAAAATCAGTTTCTCTGGGTCAAAATCAAGGTGTCGACAGAGCTGCGGTCCCTCTAGAGGTTTCAGGGGAGAAATCTGTGACTTTGGGGGGGCTGCATTCCTTGGCTGTGACCACAGCACTCTGGTCTCTGCCTCCATGGTCCGTACTTCCTCCCTCTCTTGAGTCTATCACATGTCCATCTGCCTCCCTGGCATCAGGGTGCATGTGACTGCATGTAGTGCTCTCCCTCAGTAATCCAGGACCCTCAACCATAACATCTGCAAAGACGTTTTCATTTAAAATGTCAATTTGCTGGGCCTGTAATCCCAGCAGCTTGACAGGCTGAGGAAGAATCATGAGTTCAAAGCCAACCTCAGTAACTTAATGAGGCCCTAAGTGACTCAGCAAGACTCTGCCTCTAAATAAATTATGAAAAAGGGTTGGGGATGTGGCTCAGTGGTTAAGTGACCCTGGGTTCAATCCCCAGTACCAAATAAAAGTGTGTGGGGGGCGGTAACATTGATAGGTTGCAGGGATTAGGTCTGGATATCTTTGGATGTCATTGTTCAGCCTACTCCATGCTCTTGTGAGTCCATCTGCTTAGGTAAGAGCTAAGAATGAAGATGCTCAAGGTGTCAGGAGTGGAGTTCTGCCCTTATCTCTTATCTGAACTATTGCTTCAGCCTTCTAATTGCTCTTCTGGCCTTCAGTTTCTTCCATTATTGCTGAGAATGACATTCTCACAATTGCTAATCTTGTCACTTCTTGACCTTCAACCCTACACTGATTCCCTGTCACCTACAGGGTAAGATCTAAACGTTCAAATCTGGCCTTCATGACTTCCATGAAATGATCTAAGCCTTATCTCCAGACACTATATCCTGCCGTGCATCTATTTACAATGTGGGGTTTAGAATCAGAGCTTTCATTCTGTCTCCTACACATTTTGCTGTGTGGCCTGGGGCAGCTTCTCTGAGCCTCAGTTTTCTCATCTCTAAAATGGATAATGCTCACAGGATTATTATGTCAGTTAGAAGTTATACATTCAAAGTTCCCAGTACAATTTTGACATGCAGTTGCTCCTTATATTATCATTATCATTTATGAAACTGTCATCTCCAACAAAGTGTGAACTCTTCAAGCACAAGGGTATGTCAAGTTCAATGTGTCTCCAGAGAGATTCAGCACATGGTTGGCCTATTCATAGAGAAACAGGAAAACAAAACAAAGCAGCAACGAGAGGGAGGGCGGAAGAAAAGGGCAGAGAGACGGGGCAGAAGAGACGAAGAAATCGTTTTTTTAAAATCTGTGCTTTCCGGATGTTCAGGAAAGGAGCCTGAGATCTCTTCCAAGCCGTGTGTCTCATTTTATTCTTCTATAAATTGCCTGGAGATTGAACCAGATGATCGCTAGGCCTAATCCTCACTCTCTCTGCTCCACCCAGAAGACAAATTTCCCTGGAGCAAAGGGAATTCTTTTCTGACCAAGGAGATGATGAGAACCAGTCTTGGGCATGAAGGTGGCACTTACCACTTGGCTGGAGAAGTTGGAAGAGAAGTCAGCACAGATGCAGATCTGAGCTCAGGTCTAATATGCCTGATTCTGGGTGGAATGACCTTGGGGGAGTTTTGGATTTCAGACAGGCAGGCTGGTGTTATTCATTCATTATTTGTTTTTCATTGATTTATTCAACAGATATTTATCTAACACCGGCGTGCTGGGCCTTGCAATACATGCATAACATCACACATGGTGGCTCTGTGGGGGTGAACAAAACAGAGATGTCCTGCCTTGAGATGTCCTGCTTACAGTCCACGTACTACTGATATTTTGGGCTGGATGATTCTGCACTGTGGCGCTGTCCTATGCATTGTAGGGTATTTAGTGGCATCCTTGGACTCTCTCACTCATTAGCAGCACCTATCCCATGTGACAACCAAAAACTTCATGGGGGTGGTTGGACAGGGACTATGTAGAGTGGAGGTGTCGCAGGGGAAGCAGGAGAGGTGGGCAGGGACTTGACTGAGAGGGGCCTTGGCTTCCGAATCTGTAAAAGGGACAGTGGATGGGAAGGGAGAGGGACTTGACTGTCACAGGCTACATTAACCCCGGAGGTTGGCTATCTCAGCCCCCTCACACTATTTTGTCAGGGAAGAGCGACTTCCCTCCATCCCCCCCCCACACCTCAGTCCTTGAGGTGTTCCCACTTCCCTACTTGCCCAGATTACAGGTGTTTCCATCTGTCTATCCCAGACCTGCTTCTCACTTTAGAGAGACATGATCCTCTCCCTCCAGTTCCCCCTCCTCTTCCACTCCAAGCACCAGCAATTTCCCCACTGACATTTGACCAGGGCTCTGGAAATTGGCTCTTGAAATCAGTCCTGGCTGCCCAGCTGGGCTGCAGCTCAGCAATTGTTAGGACTTTAATGCCGCTTGGCCTGAGAGAGGGTTCTGTTTCTCTGAGAGATGCTCAGCCCCTACTTGTGTATATATTTTTAGAAGCGTCAACTGATACTCAGTAAAAACAAGACCAAAGACCAAAGTAAATATTTGCACAGCACTATCTCGGAGCACCAGGGAAGGAAGAGGGAGGAGGGGCATAATACGCACAGGAACACTGATGGTCCTGGCGTCAGGCTCAGCTCTGTTTCTGGGTGGATGCACAGCCTGTGCGAGGTGAGTCTCTGGATCAGTTTTCCAATCTGTACAGGTGGAGGAGGGATTGCCTTGCTGATGGGCTGAAACCCTTGAGCTCCGATGTTCTGTGAGCCTCTAGGTCAGGAGTTCCTGCCTGGGACCCCTAGGGGCTTCCTGAACCCTCTGATGTTATAGGTAAAATTGTATATGTGCATGTGAATTTGCTAAGGTGAATATTCATAATGTTCTGCAGGTTTCAACATCCTTCAAAATGTTAAGAATCTCTGTGCTAGGTCTGTGGGTGGAGATGATTGCGTTTATCACCACTTCCCAGGAAATTGCCCCTCTTGTCATTTCTCAACCCATACCTTTCTTACATTCTGACTTTTCTGGGATTAGTGAGAATCTGGCGGTGCTGGAGAGTGAGATCAGGCTAGATTTGGAATGGCATGAACCAGAAGGAGAGCCTGTCCTAAGTGCATGTGCATTAGCTTAACTAGAAAACCTTGAAGAGTCCAGGGACCCCAGTTTACTGTAGGAGTCAAAGAATAGCTCAACAAAGGTGATTGCTAGTGGGTAACTGTGAAACCCAGCTGGGGCCTGGCCATTCTGTGGCTGAGAATTGGGGGTCAGTCTTTGGGAAGCATCAAGCCCTGGAACAACAACTTAAGAGGACCACTAAGGTGTTTGGAGCAGGGGCAGGATATAAGATCCTGGATCTTTAAATGAAACCCACTCCCCATTCCTGTGTCTTGATTCTTAATCAGGCCTGAATCTGCAGCCCTTTCGTGCACTTGTGGAATAAGCAGTAAGCAGTATCACAGGAGCCAAAAGACCCGTATTTGAGCGTCAGCTTTCACCAGCTGCTCTGTGACTTTGGGCAGGTCTCTGACTCCAGGCCTTCAAATTGTCCTCATGAACAATAAGGAGGAATTGGGCTTCCTTCCCACTTTGACCAAGGGGTGATCATTACTACATTATCGGCCACCTCCATGCATTTAATCCTCATTTTGGGATGTCCTTTTTCCATGTCAAGCAAAATGAAAATGATCCCATCCCTAGGAAAGGTATTATTTGGGGCTTAAATCCAATCTTTAGGGTCTTTCTGGCCCTAACATTTTATAATTTTCTTCCTTACTCTACCTTCTTTTTAACTGTTCAAGTTCAAGTCACAAAACTGAAAATTAGGGATGGAATTAATGTTCATGAACACTTAATATCTTCCAGACACTGTGCTAGTTTCATTTGCTACTCACAAACAAGGTAGATTTTATTATCCCCATGTTACAGATTATAAGACTGAGGTGCAGTCCATCCAACATCACTCAGCTAGCAAGTAGAGGGTGAGGACTTAAACTAGATCTGTCCAGCTATAAGGCCTATAGCTTTTTAAAAGTTATTATTACTCTATAATTCCTTATTAACTCTTTTAAAAATGAATGTATTCATTGACCTGATACTTATTGAGTATCTGCTGGGTGAGCTACCACTGCCATTGGTGTGGATTTGGAGATAAGAGATCTGCCCCTGTCCTGGAGCAGCCCATAGAGAGGACATGTTAAAAAAAAAAAAATCACAATTCAGGGCAATGACTACTATGGCAGAGGGAAGTAAGTAAGGGAAGCAGGAGCTCAGAAGGTGACATCTAATATTGGAAGGAACCCCAGAGGCTTAGAGAAGGCAACATCTGAGCTGAACTGAGAAAGCTAGTTGTGTGATTTTTTTTTCTTTTGAGATGAGTCTTCATTAAACAATTCAGTCAACAAATAATTGAGAGTCTACTATATACCAGGCACTTTTCTAGTTGCTGGAACACAACTGCATGGGACAAGCTCTTCTGGCCCTCATAAAGCTCACTTTACAGGGGAGTAGCAAACTGACAAATGGAGTATAAGGTTGAAAACTGGAGGATTTGGAGGAAAAGTAGGACATGGCCAGGTAAAGAAGAGATGGTTGTAGTCTTATTGTAATTTTCTTGTACCTAAGGCCTGTCTGACTACCAGACTGTCTCCTCCTCTCTGACAAATACTGATTAGAATTTACTTCATGTCAGGATATAAAACATGCCTGTTCCATGCCTCCTCCTTCCTGCTCTATTTTAGTAACAATAAGACAACTGGCCAGATTATATAGCCCATGCTTTTATTTGTCCCTTGGGCAACAGGGATTTCTTATACCAGTTTTGTGTCACTTCATGATTCCCCTCCCTGGAACGGTGTCCCAGACCCTCTGCACCATTGTCTCTAGGTGCCTCCTACTATTCTTTAGACCTCAGCCTAACTGTCAATTCCACAAGGAAGCCTTTCCTGACCTTCTCACCAAGTCACGGCCCTCCCAGCATATCTTGGCATCCCTTCATAGACCCTCACATCATAACTTTGCATTATAATGTGTGTTTTTTGATAAATATTTGCCTCTCCTATAAGACTACCAAGTTTGGTGGTTGCAAACATGACTGCTCTGTTCACAGTATTTCCCGGTACCTAGCAGAGTGTCTGGCATACTAGGTGTTCAATTAAACATGTGCCTGTGAAAAAATGAGTACTGCCAATGGTAGGCATTTGGAGAGAAATTTGGCCCCTTCCTCTTCCGGGGTCAGAATTACCTCAAGACTTCACTGAAGGGAAAAATGGTAGTAATAGTAAACTGAAAATAGGATTGTGAGAGAAAAAGAAATTCTATAGGGAACCAGGATGGGTATTAAAGTAAACATCACAAACTCCAAAAGGTAATGTGGACTTGCTCTTTCTCTCTCCATCCTATGAAAGGAGGAAAAGTCCATCAGACCAAGGGCCCTGGAAAAGGGACTGTCTAATGAATAGAAGGAAGCCCTGAATACCATCATCTGATAGCCATTTCTAAGGAGGCTAGAGATGTGATTCTTTCTTGGTTGCAGGAGTAAAAAGATTTTGGGGAGGAATGATGGCCTCTAGCCCATGCAGGTGAATCCTGGGGTAAAGGGGTCAGATTCCTTTGGCATTTAGTTACAGCTAAGGAAATAATACTAGGCCCCAGGGACAGAGCTCCTCTTTTTTTAACATTTATTTATTTAGTTAGTTTTAGGTGGACACAATATCTTTATTTTATTTTTATATGGCACTGAAAATCGAACCCAGTGCCTCATGCCTGCTAGGTGAGCGCGCTACTACTTGAGCCACATCCCCAGCCCAAGAGCTCCTCTTGAACTATAGACTCTCAGAGCAATGCCCCACTATGCAGAGCAGGGAGCCCTGGGTCTGTGCCAGGAAGCGGCAAAGGGGAGCATGGCGTGGGGGCCACCAGACCTAGGATGTACGCCCTGCACCCATAATCTCCACTATCTCCACTGCTCTTTGTCTCTCTTCCCCAGCAGACTGCCTTGCACTCCTTGAGAGCAAGCCTGCCTCTTCCCCAGTCTGATACACCACCAGATAACACCTGTGGAAAGAACAAGTCAAGGACAAGTGGTCAGGCAAGTGATTCGCCCTGATCCTCTATTTCCTTGGGTGTTGCCTAGTTACTGACAAGAGCACTGTGGAGACTGAATGACGTGGTGGGTGTGGAAGCATCCAGAATGGAGTTTAACAAGAAGCTCATGCTCAAAAATAGGTCATTTATCCACTTTTTTTTTTTTTGCCTTAAACTACCCCGCCCTTTCTGCACTTGATGGCATGCCTGTGATTACAGAATCATAAAATATGTGAGCAGAAGGTTCCAATAGTGATTATCTGTTTCATTTTATTTTCCTGCTTATTATGTTCCCTTCTCATGATACCCCCTTTTCCTCATATTGAACCCCCAAATCTCAGCTCTTGTGGCTCAGGGAGGGGCTGATTCTTACCCACACTCTGGGAGCCACAGCAATTAGTCAAGTATAGCTTGTAGCCCCATGAAACTTAATTCTGGGCCTTGTGAAGCAGGGCACTGCCCTTGCTATAATTTACATCTTGAATATCCTACAAGGGTCCAAGTGTTAAAGGCTTGGTGCCCAGGGTGGCACTATTGGATGGTGGTGGAACCTTTAAGAGGTGGGGCCTGGTGAGAGGTCCTTAGGTCATTGGGGACATACCGTGGCCCCTTCCTCCTTCTCTCTTTTTGCTTCCTAGCCATGAAGTGAGAAAATTGGCTTCACAACACATTCCCTGCCATTGCAACCCAGCACCCCCGCCAGAGGCCTAAAAGCAATAGGTCCACCTGACCATGGACTGGAACCTCTAAAACCATGAGCCAAAATAAACCTTTTTTCTTTATAAGTTGACCACTTCAGTTATTTGTTATAGTAAGAGAAAACTGAAAAACACAGCCCTTAATTCTGAAAGGATAAGATAACTACCAGGAGCTGCTGGCAGTCATATTCATGGGGGAGAGCTTTTAGCAGGATGGGGCCAACACTCAGAACACAGGTGAGGTGGTAAGCTTGGAGAGCTTGAGACCCAACTCCTGATGGCACTATGTGAGTCCCTCCATCTAGCTATGCCTGTATGACCAGACCAGTTTTCCTTTGGACTTAGAATTTTATAACCTAATTAACTCCCCCTTTTTATTTAAGTCCATTTGAGTTGGGGTTTCTGTTACTTACAACCTCATTTCAGCTAATAGAAGAAATTGGAATTCATCTCATCAAACCTCCTGATTTTACAGACAGGAAATAGATTTGCAAATTTACGTGAACAGTTTTTTACACACACCAGCTTTCCAAATAAATCTACTGCCTCACTTCCTTTTATCTTTACTGCTGACCAGAACAGGGGCAGGTTGTCCTTCTGCCTGGATGGGGTCATAGAATATTGATTTTGGTCACAGAATACCTAATCTTGCTCCAACAGAGCAAATTTTAAAATTCAAGTCCTCAGGAGCCAGTTTTGTTTTGCATTACAATGTTTTGATCCCCCAAGCGGAACTGCTGATGGCCCGTCCTTTTCCTTCCACACAGTGTAATCAGCAGCAATTAATTCTAATCACAAGAAGACAGCAAGAATGAACAGAGCATTAATTGGACAGAAGTAATCAGAATCTCCCTTAGCTCACAGTTGGTACTTGTATGCAGGAGGACGTGAGCCGGCACATGCATGTATACACACACACACAGTCTACAGGCTGTCAAAGGTGTTTGATGTGGAAGGAAAGAGAACAAAGTCAGCATGGGGTAGTGGGTGGTGGTGGGGGAAGCAGGGACTTTGGAATCACAAAGATCCCACCACTAACCAGTTGCTTAAAACTAGCTTCCTCATTTGTAAAACGGGGACACACAGGCCTACTTCAAAGTGGTTTAGAATGTTAAATAAGAAACTGCATGTACAGGAACTACATGGCAGGAACTCTGTAAGTGCCAGCTCTCTCTCCCTGCATATCAAAGCCTCTTGTAGCTGGTAGAGAATGGAGACCAAAGGTGATCTGAAATGTCTGATCCTTGAATGTTCTTGATTTAGCCCTACCAAATTGATGTTCTCTAGACTTTTCCCTTAATGTTGAACCACTGCCCTCCCCAATCTACCCCAACGCCACACACACACACACACACACACACACACACACACACACACAGGTGCTTCCTTCTCCTGCCTCTTTCCGCTCTGGAGTTGTAAATTCTGGGAGGGTGCTGAGTTTCCCTGAGCCCTTCTTAGCACCTGGTAAACAATGAGTGGACTCTTGTTGAGGAAGTACTAATGGAGCCTGTGTCTTTGCTCACGTTCTCTCTCTACCTGCAGTATTCAGCATCTCCATCTTGCTCTCAGTCCCGGTCATCCTTTGAGGCTTAGACTAGAAGCTTTCACTTCCTCCACGAAATCTTTGAAAATTGTTCCTGAGAGATCTCTCCCCTACTCTGAACTCTGCCCTCTTCCGTGACGCCAGAAGCCTATTATCTTTTGTGATATGATCTGTGGGTGCTATTTCTTCTCCACCACTGAAGTTCCCTCACTCAATGATTCAGCCTCCTTAAGCCATGATGGACACTGAGGGGGCATCAGAATGTGCTGTGCCCTTGAGGTGCTGAGGTTCAGACTAGTGTTTGAGTACTGTGTTTTATCTATCTGTCAATGTCCTAGGCCTTGGACCATGATGGGTGATTTTTAAATATTCGATAATGGCAGTGGGTTGCCTAGGAGAAGATATCTGGCTGGAACGTTGCTGGGACTAGTGAATTATGAGGCCAGTGAGCTTTTTGAGGTTGGGCGTGGGTGCCCTAGGCTTCCTGAGGGAAAGGAGTTGGTATTTCAGAGACAGGTGGGACATGTAGAATGCATTCAAACTCGACAACACTGAATAAGCTGTGACTTGGTCTGCAGGAGTATTTGGCTTTCGCTCTAGTCTGGGGTCAAGCCTGCTTTTGTCATCAGATTTCACAGGATGTTGAGCAGGTCACTTACTCTCTGGATAGCCATTTAGCCATCCCTATTTTATTCAGCCACCAATTACGAACATTTATTGTGTTCCTGGCACTGTGCCTAACCCTGGAGATACAGAGGTAACTCAGATATGAGTGGCAACTTTGGAGGGCTTGTGGTCTAGTAGGCATTATGAAATAGACCATCAAAGACCATGTAACATCTCTGCATTGGTGGTTTGGATTCCGTATTGCTTTCTGGATAAGTTCCTAAGCTCCTTTTCCTGATGTCAAATCCTCTTATGATCTGGCTCCTCCCAATTATAGCATCAGTTACCAACTTTTGTACTGAGCCTTTGGAACTTGTGGTCACACTTTCTGACTGTGCTTCCACTGATGGTGTTTGAAAATGTCCTATGGGCCAATTAACCAGCAAGATGGTTGTGTTATGTGTCAACTTGACTGGGCCATGGGGTGCCCAGAATACTTGGCCAAATATCATTCTGAGTGTTATGTGTAAGGGTATTTCTAGATGGGATGAACATTTGAATGAACAGACTGAGTAAACCATGTCACCATTCCTAATGTGAATAGGCTTCACCCAATGGATGGAAGACCTGCCTGATTCCTATTTAACTGCTGGAGAAAGGACATTGGACTTTCCTGGATTTTGCACTAGAACTGGACCAGTGGCTCTTCCTGGGTCTCAAGTCCTCTTTCAGACTGGAACTCCCACCATTAGCTCTCCTCATTCTCAGGCCTTTAGACCCAGTTTCTCCTGGGACTCCAGCTTGTTGACTACATATCTTGGGACTTCTCAACCTCCATAATTGGAGTGTGTGTGTGTGTACATAAACATAGAATCAATAGGAGATGCAGACTTCTAGATCTATGTCTGCTAGTGGTTCTGTTTCTCTGGAGACCCCTGACTGAAGCCACCAGATTGCAGGCTCTGAGCCTGACTTCCTGAAGAATGTTGCTTTCGGTGGTGATGGAGACATCAAGCCTCCTCAACAACACCCAACCTTCCTTTTCTTTGCATCTTGGTTCTGCCCTTCCTTATGGTTTTCTCCTTGGGGAAGAAGTATTCTACAATATAGGAAAAAGGGGTTTTGAGGAATTCCACTGCATGGAGCTAATGGGACCCTGAGAGATCACAGGCCTTGTATTCTGGAGCAGTGAGGTGCTTGTCCGTGGCTCCAGGCTTTGCAAACACTTGTGCAATGCTGTCCTCTTCCTTCTAACTTTGCTTCTCCTCTTGGTGAATGCTTAATCAGATTGAGTTCAACATCCAGCCCATTTGAAAAGTCTTCCTAGACTCCTGAAGGTTGAATTGGCTCTGTTCTCTGGTCTTCACAGAATTCTGTGCATATCTTTTCCTTAGCATTGATTTGCCACCTCTGAGCTAGATAAAAAGGCAGGCTCAGTATGTAGGGTACCAGTTGTCTATCATTCACAGTGGGATGATTGTAAAGATAGCAAGTTGGAGAAAATCATGTTCATCAAAGTCTTCATCAATATGTACTTGGGAGGAAATTTGGGACTCAGATGACAACCTTTGCTCAAAACATCTAGCCCAAAGTGGTTGTACTGGGATTTGAATCCAAGACTGACTTCAAAAGCAAGGATCCTGTTGGTTATTCACTCAATAAAATATGTTAAATGATAATATGTGCCAGGAGCCATGCTAGGCACCAGGGTGCAAAAGTTCAAGTGTGCCTGTCCAGGGTTACTGCCTGCAGTGGCAGAGGAGGAGGGCCAAATTCCTCATGCTAGGTCTCTGGGGCTGTCCCATGGATGACCTCACCACCAGGAATCTCCACAATCAGTCTCTCCTTCCCTCCTCCTCCTCCCTCCCTCTCTCTCTCTCTCTCTCTCTCTGGAAAGACACTTCCTCAGAACAACCCCTTTTCCTGCCCCTAAATTTCTGCGTGTGCCCACTGCGGAAAAAGCCAAGACTGCTGCCAAATTCATTAATAATTTTGGCTTTCTGGAGGAAGGAGTTGGATTGCTTTGCTCTTCAAATATCAAAACATCCAATTAACACAGCTAATTAGCATCACTAGCAGCAGTCAAAAGAATAGCAATTTAGATGCAGGATTTCAAAGGTTTCCTAGTCGTGGGCCAAGGCAACCCATCTCTTGCTAATGACAAGAGTTCCTCACTTAGGCAATTCTATAGCAGCCATCAATTAACCACTGGGCAGAGACTGGCCTCATCCCTGAGTCATTTGTCTAATCAGAACTGGGGACAGAGAAGAAGAAACAGAAAGGAGAGGGAGAGAGGACAAGAGGAAGAGGGAGAGACGATAGAGATGACGTGGGAGAATCAGAGTGGGAGAGGGAAAGAGAATTAGGAAAAGAAAAACAGGGAGAGAAAGGCAGAGAGAATATTTCCAAGATAAAGAAATTCTCAGAGACAGAATGAGGAGCACAAAAGGTGATTCACAGATAAGCAGACAGGTAGATCAGCAGATAGGTGCTCAGAAAAATAAATTTCTTTGATACACACAGAAAAGGAATGGCGAAGAGCTTCTAGTCACCAGCAGCTCCAGGAAATGAGCTGATCACTGGGAAGCTTTAGTGTCCTGATCTGTAGAACTGGGCTTAGCTGTGAGAGTTCAAATTAAAAACTGGCGAAGCTTGGCTGCTGCCATGAGATGTAAGAGAGAGAGTGGCCAGGAGACCACATTCAGGGCTGTCCTCTTACCTTTGGGCCCTGAACATTGCACTTCCCAAGAGCCTTGCTTTCTCTTTAGAAGGTGGGTATGCGGCCAGACCCCTTTTTTTGTGCACAGTCACTGAACATCCAATGAACTCAGTAAGGCCCAGGATCCCACACTCAAGAAGGGTGGAGAAAGGTCCCAGCTGAGCGCCTTTGCTCCCCTCCCTCACGCTGCCACAAGCTGCCTCGCGATCGCTCCTCTAG